CAATGCTTACTTACTTACATATCTTGCTCCTAATTTTTTTTTTTTTAATATTCTACACTTTGTTCTTGATTTGCTTGTATTTTGATCAGATCATGTGATCACTAAAGTCAAGGATTTTGAAGTTCCTCTTCTGTCTGGTGCTCAGGTAACTCTTGTTCGGCTTTGATTCTGAATAATAATCACAACCATATAAAAATTTTCATGTTTTCTGATTAAATATAAGCAATTATTTGTATTAAATTTTTATAATTGTCAATATGATAAAGTTCCTGCCTTTCTGGCCATTGATTGGTTGGATTATAATTGAAGTGTCAGCTTTTTGCACATGGCTCTATAATGGAGAAAGTATTAGTAATCTAATGAAGTTATCAGTGACAGTCCTTTCTCTAATGTAATATAATAATTAGTCATCAATTTACATAATTGGTGGGTGATTATTAGCTCTTTTTAGCGATTATTGTCAGAATCTTTTCAAAACATGGCAGTTATCAGGCTTGCTCAGTGGTTATTGAAGCTAGAGCTATTTTCAAGGGAAATTTACATTCATACCATATAATTTTTATGCATTTAAATATCGAACCACTAAAGTCTGATATTTACCCTTATAATATTTTGGTGTCAGACATTTATGCATGAAAAAGTTTACTTCACTTTTAACAAAATAATGATGGTGGTGTTTTTTGATGTAATGTTAAATATTTGTGACTTGTGCATGTAAATATGAATGTATAGGTGTTACATGAGTAAAGTGGTGGCATAGATTCGAGATAGTGGAAGCTTGCTGTTAATGACTTCTTTGGGATCAATTTCTTTTTTTTTAATATCTTTATTTTGTATTTTTACATATTTTTATTTTTTAAATTTTTAAAAACAAAATATGCAAAACATGTTTTGTTTGAGATCAAAATATAAAAAAAAACAAAAAAAAAATAAAAATTGATCCCAAGCATATAAAAAATGATCCCAAAGGGGAACTAAAAGAATCTGTTGTTAAGAAAATTCATTGTAAATAATTTGTATATTTTTTTTCTGGTGTGAATTGGCTCTATGAGTTCACAAAAGTTGCTTCATTAGGGATTATTTATTTCTCTTAACAATGGGTTTACTGAACTTGAAGGTTGTGGAGCAGCTAAGAGCATTCGAGCAAAAAAGATTTAGAAAGCCAAGTACTGTGGCCATGTACTCGAGCATCTTTGGGGGAATTACGACAGATCTTGCGGCCATGGTGGTTCCCTTGGATGATCACATGGTCCATAGAGGGCATGGTGTTTTTGACACTGCTGCCATAATGGATGGGTAAGAGAATTGAGGTACTTGATAATATTTCTAAATTAGAACGACTTTTAGAAATGGTGAAATTATATAAAAGGGAAAAAATACTATGGTACATGAAAAAAATGTTTCAATGTTCTCAGAATGAATCAATTTGCATTTTGCCATTTGATTAGTATTGTTATGTCATTTTTTTTTTAAGTGTCTTATTGAATTGTTTGGTCAATTCAAATTTATATTTTGGTAAGGAATTCAAATGAGGCATTTGCTATGGAATATGGACTAAAGGGTGACCATATTTGGTTTGAGGCTTTTGGTAAAGGCAAATCACTCAATATTTCATCATCAATATATTTTTTAACTATCAAATGTGTAATTGAGCTAGTACACTCATGTGTTTTAATACTCTCACCCGCAAATAAGACCTATTTAGAGTAGAAATCACAACTCACAACCCCTTAAACAAAGGTTTTTTATAATGCTCGAGTATCATGTACGGAGAGTTCACTTAGCCACATTGAGCCCCAATTCCAATAAGAGCCTTTTGTTCATGAACCATTCTCAACATTGGTAAGGACTAAAAACATATAGGGAAGAAAGAATTGAGTGAATCACCTGCTTCAAACTAATGCATGCATTTGCTTTGATTTTACTTGTTAAGCAATGACAATCTAGGCGCGACCAAAGTTGGGCCTAATGCACCACAATCAAACCTGTTTTGAACTATTCGAACATATTTTCAACTAAAAGTATAAGCCTATGAGTGAGAGGGTCAACCATTTAATATTTTAGTAGTAATCTATTGTTTTTAACTCTTCCATGTGTGGCAAGTTAGGACCTATAAGCTTTGGATGGATGTTAATAATAATCTTATCACAAAATGTAAGTTTTGGGTTAGAGATCACTAACCCATTCCAACTATGGCCCTATCGGTATGTTTGGGGCAACTATAACTATTTAAAGAAGCAGTTGTAAATGTGCTACAGAAGATTTTGTTGTTAAAAAAATGCAATGTTTATTACAAATTCTTTTTTTTTTTCAAAATGTCAACTCGCAGGTTTCTAGCAGTCGCTGCACTTGGCCGAGTAAGGTTGCAAAAAACAGTTGTTACAACCTTCAGCCACAGCTTCTTGAGCAGACAAAATATAGCTTCGCCAAACACAAAAAAGCCTGGTGCGACACCACACCACCACCACCACATTTTCACCACAAACGCACCCATAATATCAGGAGGAAAAAACTTGACAAGTAAAGTTCAAGTGTTTAAGGGCATGAGACAAAAAAAAAAATGCAATGTTTAGCACAAATTCGTTTTTTTTTTCAAAATGTCAGCTTGCAGCTTTCTACCACCCCTCTTTTTTTTAACTTCGTCATTAAAAATGGTATTAATGGTACCAACATAGTTTTTTTTGTTTTTAGGAACATGAAAAAATTCATGCTTTGATAGCACATTCACACTTACATTGCAATTGGTGAATAATTGATGACTATTTATTCACAATTTTTTATTTAATTTTGAACAAAAAATTAATAAATAATGAGAATTGGCAGCAATAAATTAAGCATTCATCTAATCTGATTGGTAAACTTTTGTAGCATTTAGTTAAATTTCAAAGCTTATTACTTTAATTTTACTTGAAACCTTATCCAAGAAAGCAAGATGGTAGTTAATTAAGGCTCAGCTCACCTACGACACTAAAAAGGGGCATTTACATACATACCACAAAGTTCTTATGTATTTACATAAATTTAACACCTAAACATTTATATTTACATATATATACCACTCAAATCTTTAACATCACATCAAAAAATACTACCATCACTATCTTCTTAAAGGTGAAATACACATTTTCATACATATGTTTATGACACCAAGTTGTCATAAATGTAAACATCAAACTTGGGCTGTTAGATATGCGAGACATGACAATTTTGTGGTGTGCATGTAAATTTCCCTACTAAAAAGCCATTGATGTAGTCCCAACTTCATTATTCATGAAAACATGATTTGAACATCACTTACATTTTTATTTCATCTCAATGAACATACTTTAGGAACAAGTTAGGGTTTTGTGATGCCGAAATGCATCATTATGCCCTTTATTTTTTAACAATTAAACCATACTTACCCATCTTTCTTCATCTCAGATACCTCTATGAACTAGATCAACATCTCGATCGTTTCTTACGATCAGCTGCAATGGCTAAAATCAATCTACCGTTCGATCGCTCGCAAATACGAAACATCCTAATCCAAACAGTAAGCGCCTCAAAATGCACAGAAGGGGCTTTAAGGTACTGGCTCTCCGTCGGTCCCGGCGATTTCTACCTATCTCCTTCCGGGTGCTTACAATCCGCTCTATACGCCGTGGCTTACGAAACTTATCTACCGGAATTTACGGGTTCTAAAGTAATAACATCATCGATCCCCATGAAATCACCGAAGTTCGCAGTAATGAAGAGTGTGAACTACTTACCGAATGCCCTGTCGAAGATGGAAGCCGAACAAAATGGCGCTTTCGTCGGAATATGGATCGACGACGAAGGATATGTCGCCGAAGGTCCGAATATGAATGTCGCATTTGTGACGGAAGAGAGAGAGTTGTTGATGCCTGAGTTTGATAAGATTCTGAGTGGATGCACTGCGAGGAGAGTGATAGTTCTTGCAGAGAAGCTTGTGAGAGAGGGGAAGATCAGAGGAGTTAGGGTTCAGAAAGTTAGGGTTAGGGAAGGGAAGATGGCGAATGAAATGATGCTTATTGGAAGTGGAATTCTTGTGAAGCCGGTTCTTCAATGGGATGATCAGATCATTGGTGATGGTAAGCTTTCTTCCTTTTTTTATTTTTTATTTTCTTTTATAGCTATGTGGAAATTTACATGCTTAGCGCACAATTCTTTGTATTTATATATCTCACATTTAAAATTTCATATTTATATAGAAATTTAAATTTATGTATGAAAATGTATATTTCACTTTAAAAAAATAATAATATTATTATTATTATTGTAATATAAAATACTTGAGTGTTGTGTGTGTAAATATGAATGTTTAGGTGTGAGATATGAAAAAATATAAATGCCCATATGTGTATATGTGTGTGTGAAATTTACATACATACCAAACAATTTTTATATATTTACATATTTAACATCGTAACTATTATACTTATATGTATAATATTTTACTATCATAAAACAATACTTGAAAATATATTTTTGTTTTTAAAAATCAAGTGTTGAACCCAAAAAATATCATGAATCTTTTATGATGAATAGAGCACAAATGATAAGGAATGAACAGTAAAAATGAACTTCCAACCCCCCTTCCCCTTCATAATGAGTTTCATATTTATACGCTTAGGGGATACACTAGTAGACATTTACCTTTATGTCTCTGCTCTGTATAAAGGAGTTTAAAGGTATTAAATTTAATTATCCAATAAGTGGTTTAAGTTAAATAAATATTTGTTGACGACAGCGATCCTTTGCTCGTTACCCACCTTTGTTCGTTCATCTCTAATGAGCCGAATCACGAGAGGGTAATATGAGAACTTCTCGGTCGACCTTACCTATGAATAGTCTTTTGAACTCTTTAATGGAGGGGATTATTCCCGTCGGGAGAGCATTGAAGCAATGAAGACCCATTTCTCTTAGCGTGGTGAGGAGTAAGAGGCATTTGAATGCATCGGTGATCTTGAGGATACTAACGGTCGGCTCCAAAGCAGCTACGTCGATCCGACCTGCATGTTGTTTGGTTTTGTCCAATTATATTGATGAGGATTTTGGTTTTGTGGGTTTTGGCCTTCCCTAGCCAAGGCTTCTTGGAGAGCACCCACAATCTGTTCTCTCATTTCTAGTACTAGTTGTTTGTCATCTCCATTACTTGTTGTTGGACTATCTCCCTTGTAATATTCATCCATTTGGTCTGGTTTTGTGTCTCTCGAGCGGTTGCCTTGTTGCAGCACTATGTTCCTCTCTTGTTGGAGGAATGGATTCCACGTTTGCTACACATTTTAGATTGTTGAGCCCAAAAATGTCTTTAATCCCACCCATGTATAGAGTGAAAATAATATGATAAGGAATGAATGGTAAAAATGAACTTCCAGCCCCCCTTCCTCTTCATAATGAGTTTCTTATTTATAGGCTTAGAGGATACACTAGTACACTTTTACCTTTATGCCCCCATTCCGTATAAAGGAGTTTAAGGGTATTAAAGTTAATTATCCAATAAGTTAAATAAATATTTGTCGACAACAGCGATCTTTTGCTCGTTGCCCACCTTTCTTCATTCATCTGTAATAAGCTGAATCACGAGAGGGTGATATGAGAACTTCTTGGTCGACCTTTCCTATGAATAGCCTTTTGAACTCTTTAATGGAGGGGATTATTCCTGTCGGGAGAGCGTTGAAGCAATGAAGAACCAATTCTCTTAGCGTGGTGAGGAGTAAAAGGCATTTGAATGCATCAGTAATCTTGAGAATACTGACGGTCGGCTCGAAAGCTGCTACGTCGGTCCAGCCTGCCTGTTGTTCAGTTTTGTGCAATTATATTGATGTGGATTTCTGTTTTGTGGGTTTTGGCCTTCCCTAGCCAAAGCTTCTTGGAGAGCACCCACCATCTGTTCTCTCATTTCTAGTACTAGCTATTTTGTCATCTTCATTATTTGTTGTTGGACTATCTCCCTTGTAATATCCATCTCTTTGGTTTGGTTTTGTGTCCCTCGAGCGGCTGCCTTGCTGCAGCATTGTGCTCCTCTCTTTGGTCTGGTTTTGTGTCTCTCGAGCGGTTGCCTTGTTGCAGCACTATGTTCCTCTCTTGTTGGAGGAATGGATTCCACGTTTGCTACACATTTTAGATTGTTGAGCCCAAAAATGTCTTTAATCCCACCCATGTATAGAGTGAAAATAATATGATAAGGAATGAATGGTAAAAATGAACTTCCAGCCCCCCTTCCTCTTCATAATGAGTTTCTTATTTATAGGCTTAGAGGTTACACTAGTACACTTTTACCTTTATGCCCCCATTCCGTATAAAGGAGTTTAAGGGTATTAAAGTTAATTATCCAATAAGTTAAATAAATATTTGTCGACAACAGCGATCTTTTGCTCGTTGCCCACCTTTCTTCATTCATCTGTAATAAGCTGAATCACGAGAGGGTGATATGAGAACTTCTTGGTCGACCTTTCCTATGAATAGCCTTTTGAACTCTTTAATGGAGGGGATTATTCCTGTCGGGAGAGCGTTGAAGCAATGAAGAACCAATTCTCTTAGCGTGGTGAGGAGTAAAAGGCATTTGAATGCATCAGTAATCTTGAGGATACTGACGGTCGGCTCGAAAGATGCTACGTCGGTCCAGCCTGCCTATTGTTCAGTTTTGTGCAATTATATTGATGTGGATTTTGGTTTTGTGGGTTTTGGCCTTCCCTAGCCAAGGCTTCTTGGAGAGCACCCACAATATGTTCTCTCATTTCTAGTACTAGTGGTTTTGTCATCTCCATTACTTGTTGTTGGACTATCTCCCTTGTAATATTCATCCATTTGGTCTGGTTTTGTGTCTCTCGAGCGGTTGCCTTGTTGCAGCACTATGTTCCTCTCTTGTTGGAGGAATGGATTCCACGTTTGCTACACATTTTAGATTGTTGAGCCCAAAAATGTCTTTAATCCCACCCATGTATAGAGTGAAAATAATATGATAAGGAATGAATGGTAAAAATGAACTTCCAGCCCCCCTTCCTCTTCATAATGAGTTTCTTATTTATAGGCTTAGAGGTTACACTAGTACACTTTTACCTTTATGCCCCCATTCCGTATAAAGGAGTTTAAGGGTATTAAAGTTAATTATCCAATAAGTTAAATAAATATTTGTCGACAACAGCGATCTTTTGCTCGTTGCCCACCTTTCTTCATTCATCTGTAATAAGCTGAATCACGAGAGGGTGATATGAGAACTTCTTGGTCGACCTTTCCTATGAATAGCCTTTTGAACTCTTTAATGGAGGGGATTATTCCTGTCGGGAGAGCGTTGAAGCAATGAAGAACCAATTCTCTTAGCGTGGTGAGGAGTAAAAGGCATTTGAATGCATCAGTAATCTTGAGGATACTGACGGTCGGCTCGAAAGATGCTACGTCGGTCCAGCCTGCCTATTGTTCAGTTTTGTGCAATTATATTGATGTGGATTTTGGTTTTGTGGGTTTTGGCCTTCCCTAGCCAAGGCTTCTTGGAGAGCACCCACAATATGTTCTCTCATTTCTAGTACTAGTGGTTTTGTCATCTCCATTACTTGTTGTTGGACTATCTCCCTTGTAATATTCATCCATTTGGTCTGGTTTTGTGTCTCTCGAGCGGTTGCCTTGTTGCAGCACTATGTTCCTCTCTTGTTGGAGGAATGGATTCCACGTTTGCTACACATTTTAGATTGTTGAGCCCAAAAATGTCTTTAATCCCACCCATGTATAGAGTGAAAATAATATGATAAGGAATGAATGGTAAAAATGAACTTCCAGCCCCCCTTCCTCTTCATAATGAGTTTCTTATTTATAGGCTTAGAGGTTACACTAGTACACTTTTACCTTTATGCCCCCATTCCGTATAAAGGAGTTTAAGGGTATTAAAGTTAATTATCCAATAAGTTAAATAAATATTTGTCGACAACAGCGATCTTTTGCTCGTTGCCCACCTTTCTTCATTCATCTGTAATAAGCTGAATCACGAGAGGGTGATATGAGAACTTCTTGGTCGACCTTTCCTATGAATAGCCTTTTGAACTCTTTAATGGAGGGGATTATTCCTGTCGGGAGAGCGTTGAAGCAATGAAGAACCAATTCTCTTAGCGTGGTGAGGAGTAAAAGGCATTTGAATGCATCAGTAATCTTGAGAATACTGACGGTCGGCTCGAAAGCTGCTACGTCGGTCCAGCCTGCCTGTTGTTCAGTTTTGTGCAATTATATTGATGTGGATTTCTGTTTTGTGGGTTTTGGCCTTCCCTAGCCAAAGCTTCTTGGAGAGCACCCACCATCTGTTCTCTCATTTCTAGTACTAGCTATTTTGTCATCTTCATTATTTGTTGTTGGACTATCTCCCTTGTAATATCCATCTCTTTGGTTTGGTTTTGTGTCTCTCGAGCGGCTGCCTTGCTGCAGCATTGTGCTCCTCTCTTGTTAGAGGAATGAATTCCACGTTTGCCATATATTTTAGAGTGTTGAGCCTAAAAATGTCTTGAATCCCACTCATGTATAGAGCGCATATAATATGATAAGGAATGAATAGTTAAAATAAACTTCCAGAGCTCCTTCCCCTTCAAAATGAGTTTCCTATTTATAGGTTTAGGAGACACGCTACTACACATTTACCTTTATGCCCCCCACTCTATCTAAAGGAGTTTAAGGATATTACAGTCAGTTATCTGATATGTCAAAATAATTTAAATAAATATTTGCCAACGACAACGACCCTTTGCCCGTTGGTATATCTTTGTTTGTTTGTCTCTAATGAGTTGAATCACGAGAGGGTAATATGAGAGCTTCTCGGTCAAACTTACCTATGACTTATTCTAAACCCCGGTTCGCCTCCTTCGCCTGCTAGGTGATAGATAGTTCTTCGTTCGATTGGTCCTACAAATAGCTTCCGTCTGGCTTCATTGTCTGTTGGTTTGTCATCTGTTACGCAATTCAATGATATTATCAGCCGATCTCCTAACCCGAGCATCAATTTTTTTAGTAAACCGACTTAGTCCTATTGACAGGTCTTGATTCACTTTGGGTTGGGGACCCATCTCGCTTGTCGTGTTGCTTGCCCCTGCATCGAGATTCATGTTTTTCTAACCTGGTCATACAGTAAGTAATACCGACATTTCCTATGTAATGTTAAAGATTTGAGCGGTATGCACCTAAATATAGAAGTTAAAATTTTGAGTGGATATGTAAATATAAGAATTGTATGGTATGTATGTAAATGCCCCACCATAAATAATCATTGTGTCATAATTGGTGTTGCTTAAGCTGCTCTTTCACATAGCCATAATGGTTCTGCTTTCTTTTAGATATTAAAACTATTTATAGAACATGTAGACGTTCCCTCCTCTTTTTTTTTTTCTTTTTTTTAGTGAAAATGAATGCATTTACATATATATCCAAACAATTCTAATGTATTTACATATCTAACACCTTAAATTTCTTATTTGCCCACATATCACCTTCAAAACCTTTAATATTTCATTAAAAATATCACTATTATTAATTTTATGAACGTAAAATACATCTTTTCGACAGAGATTTGTGCTGCTAAGGTGTTATAAATGTAAATATATTATTTTGGCAGCTAAAATTTTCATAAAAAAGTATGTTGATTGAGATGCTATTTCTTGCTGACTATTTGAAAGCCTTTGAGCTCTCAGGGAAGGAAGGTCCTGTCACTGAAGCTATTTTCAGACTCATTGTGGAGGATATGAGGAGTGGTCCACCTTCTGTTCGAGTTCCCGTTCCTTACCACTGAACCATTATGGCCTTTTATTTAAATATTGGCAGTCATTAGAAGCTTCTTCGTGTATCATAACAGCCTCGTGGTTTTAAAAGTCGTCGTTCAACCGGCTCAACTGTGAACCAGTTATTCGAGCGGTTCGATTCAAGCTTAAAACCGTTTCTGTATAGTACTGAGATTGAACTCGTGAGAACCGGGATTGAAGTGGTGAACCGGTCCTGTTTCTAAGAAATCGAAATCGTTCGGTTCAAATATTATTGAATTGTATTATTTTGATTTTGATTTGAAGGCTATGTATAAGATATTTAAATTTATGAATAAATAAAGTATATGTTGTAAATTTTTTATTTGAAATATTGTTCACAGTATTAAAAGATATTGTCTTAAATTAATATAGTATTTATTAATAAAAATAATATTAATGTATCATTATTATATTATTTAAATTATATCAAAAATAATTTAAATATTTATTAGGTCATCTGAATCAATCGTTGCCATAAACCTAGTCGAATATTGAGCAATTACCTCTTTCAGTTCGATATTCTATCTGATTTTCATAATTTAATTCAAATTAATATTAATAGATTATGGGGTGCCATAAAATTGGGGCTTTTTGGTTTGCTCAAAAAAGAGCATAGTGTAAAAGAAATGTAATGAAAAATGTATCTAGTATATTGAAAAGTAAATATTATTATTTGTATGAATATATTGTTGAATAATAATTGTAGATGAAAATAGATTCATCGTACATGCATTTCATGTTAAATTATTGAAGAAATTTAATCATACGCCTGTTTAAATTTATTAAGGGTTCGACTGAGGCAGCAGTGCAGTGGCGATGCGGTACCGCACCACAGTTTTGCATGTTCGAGTAAACTGCGTTTTGACCGTTTTTTGAAAAACTCCTGCTG